GATAGAATAATTTGAAAAGAGAATACTTGATAGATTTTATTAGTACAAAATATGATATGATGATAAATAATGGATTTAGATTTATGTTAGTTTAAAAATATAATAAATTTTAACATATACATTCTGAATAAATTTTATATTGAAAACATATTTGATAATTTAAATAATTTGATTGATATTTTCATACTAAAAATATCAGTTTAAAAATTAGAACAAATTAATTTACATTAAATTATTTTACTTCTATAACATATTGTACTTTTATTTATTCATATTATTTTACTTTTAAAAAAAGATATTTGTTGTTATTGAAAAAATTAGTTAGGATTAATTTTTTTATAACATTTGAATGGTTCTATCATTTTTTCTATTGAAATATATTCTCTCAGATTCTTTGATTGTCTTGTTATATCATCTTCTTTTCTTTTCATTAAGAAAGATTCTATTAAGAAAAGTGTTATATAACCATTATGTTTTAATTATCCAATACATTCATCAATTTTTATAGAATAAATTATTTGATCATTTGTTAATTCTAATACTTTCATTAATTGTTTATTCATTCATCTCATAAACAATGGATATTTATCATTTCCATATTTAATATGTACTACACATTCTTTTCTTATTATATTAATTTTATTAACATATACTATTAATCCATATTTATTTTTTGATGAAAATGGGAATATAATTGTTTCTATTTCTTTAATATTATATTGTAATTGATATATATATTATTATTCTTTGATATTCATCATAACATACATTTTTGTGGAACATTAAATGTTTTCATTATATTTTCAAATTCTTCTTCTGTTAATATACTATCATATTCATGTATTTCATTAATATATATTTCATTTTGAGATATTTTAGTGATAGAATTATGTGAATGAATTGATGACATTCTTTCTTCAACATTATCTTCTTCAATAATTTCATTATCATCATTAATTATTTTATCTTCATCATTTTTACTTCTTTCACTAATTACATACTTCTTCATTTGAAATGGTGCAATTTCATTAAAAAATACTTCTTTTGATTTTCTTTTCCTAAATTCAACTTTATTCCTTGGATGTACATTTGTATTATGTTTTATTTTATTTACAACTACATTTCTTATCAAACTATAAGTATTTGGTAATTCAATATTAGAAATTGATTTATCATTCCAATTTATTATAGTTTGTTTTGATTTAAAAGCAAATGATGGAAGGTTATCATAATTAATAAGAGGGAACCAAAATAAGTGAAGAAATTATGAATCTAAATAAAATGCTCAAATGAAAATGGTGTATTATATTTTTTGATTATTAGAATATTCTGTTTTATATTATTTTCTCTTAAAATTATAAAATATAAATTAAAATAAAATGTAGGTAAAATAATAATTCTATATCAATCAGTTGACATTTTGTAACTTCTTGGTGTTTTGAGTATGATGTATCTTGATTTGTTGAGTATATTCATTCATAATTCTGTTCATTTTATTTTATTCTTTATTTCATTTACCTTCAATTCTATTTTAATGTGAAAATATCATT